GGAATGCACTTTTGTTAAGAGCATATATAGACTACAGAGAAGGGCTCGTAACATAAACTACCAATGCCTCTCTGAAGGCAGAATAGAAAAGATTTTTTAAAAAGTTAGGCACAAAATGATCTGTATACTCATTTCATTAGCTCTATATTTATAAGAGGAAAATAGATCCTAAAAGTAGAAGTCATTAATTGACAAACTTTGTCTTTCTCCTCCACAATTAAAATGAAAAAAATTGCTAGATCACAGCAAAATGGGATAACAGATGCCTTTGGGGTTTCAGTTTTATAGCAGAAAATAACTGTAGCACTTTCATCCTAGGAGGTAACCTAGACGGGACATACTTTAATATTGCTTCTACTACTATAACTAGCCTACACTTAAAAGGCTGGTTAAAATAAACAAAAGAAAGATAATGAAAATGCCATGAAGGGCGGCACCTGTTGGCTCAGTGGGTAGGGCACCGGCCCCATATACCGTGGGTGGCAGGTTCAAACCCAGCCCCTGCCAAACTGCAATAAAAAAATGTCCAGGCGTTGTGGTGGGCACCTGTAGTTCCAGCTACTCTGGAGGCTGAGGCAAGAGATCGCCTAAGCCCAGGAGTCAGAGGTTGCTGTGAGCTGTGTGACACCACAGCACTCTACCAAGGGCGATTAAGTGAGACTCTGTTTCTACAAAAAAAAAAGTCATGAAATGATTCTTTGGCTAATTTCAGAGTGCAGAAAGCTTTTCTAAACAAGATTCAGAATACAGGAAACATGAACAGAAAAGATTAAAAAATTTTCCTACACGAAAAAGTTCTGTATTTAAAAAAAATCCCTGTCAATTTTTTTTTTTTTTAATACAAACAGGGTCTCCCTCTGATGCTCAGGCTGCAGTGCGATGGCCCAAGCATAGCTCACTATAACCTCCAACTCCTGGGCTCAAGCAATCCTCCCTCCTTAGCCCCTACAGGCACCTAACACCACACCTGGCTAATTTTTTTAATTTTTTGCAGATATGGCAGCGTATGCTGCCTAGGCTGGTCTCAAACTTCTGGCCTCAAACTATCCCATCTTGGCCTCCCACAGTGTTGAGCCACCATGGCCAACCAAAAATTCCTTTTAACACAAATAAGAAATATTTGCACGATCTAGACAAAGAGCTATCTTCTTCCATAGGAAAAGACTCTTACAAACTAATAAACATCACCTATGTTTATTCAAGAGAAAATTGGCAAAGTATTATGTATAGGCAGGTAACAGAAAAAACAAAGACAGCATATAAACATAGTTTAAAGTGAGGTTCAACCTCATCCATAAATAAAGAAATCCAAGTTACAGCAACGAAAATTCATGTGTCACCCGACAGATTGGCACAGATCCAAAAGTGTGCTGTGCAGTGTTGTCAAAGCCACAGGGAACCAGCCGTTCTCAAATGGTTTGATGGGAATGTAAATTGGGAGACTGCAGCTGAAGGCCATTTCCAAGATCAATCAGAATGTGGGACGCATATGCACATTAACTTCACACATCGTCTAGGAATTTATCCTGCAAACACACACTCTAGTACTGGATACAAAGATCTCTGTGTATAACCGCGATTTCTGCAGCTTTGTTTTTAATGGTGAGAGGTTGAAAACAACCTGAACATTCTCCTAAGAATAAGCCAAATAATTGGGTCACATATGTGTGATGGAACATGTGCAGACATTGAGATAAGAGCACATGCAGCTATGCGGTGATCTCTGAGCTAGGTTTAGTAAGTGAACAGAAGATTTCTGGAACGCCAAAGAAGAGTCTGCCAACATGGTTGTCTCAGAGTATAACCAGCTACATAATTTACCAAGACCAGGAAAAACGAAACACAGGGTCCTTTGTTCAAAAATTGTTCAGAATTTCAAGACAGCCATGGAAGAACCTCGAAGCAGGTACAGGGCCCTCTGCACATGGAGCCCCCCTGTGATAACCCAGAAGTGGCCTGGCTGGAGGGAAGGCAGGTGGAGTAACAGGGATTAGAAATGGGGAATAATTTTCACTGCAGACCATTTTGAATCGCTTTAATTTGTTAGTGGATGCATGTATTAGTTATTCAATTACTAAGAGAAACTATTTTATAAAAAAATAAACCCTTGGGCAGCGCCTGTGGCTCAAAGGAGTAGGGTGCTGGCCCCATATGCCGGAGGTGGCGGGTTCAAACTCAGCCCCAGCCAAAACCTGCAAAAATAAAAAATAAAAAATAAATAAACCCAAAATTCCTTACTACCACCATGAGCATCCCCCCCACCCCCGCAAAAAAATCCTGTTATCCATTTCCTTACCCCTAAAGAGCCACAATTCTTAGAAATGTGGGTGGAGGGGAGATGAGTTAGGGAAATGGCGAGCCCTACTTGATAGGTCATAAGACCCAAACCAACATCTCTGACAAAACAGGAGAAGGCAGGGCGGCACCTGTGGCTCAAAGGAGGAGGCACCAGCCCCATGTACTGGAGGTGGCAGACTCAAACCTGGACCCGGCCAAAAACTGCAAAAAAAAAAAAAACAACAGGAGAAGGCAGAGAAACCAGCCAAAACCAACTAGAAACCAGATGGCCTTGAAAAAAAGAAGGTCAGATTATCCTCATTGTTCATTTTAAGCTAATTAAAATACATTAGCAACTAAAAGAAACTCCTGCCAGCCAGTGCCAGGACAGTTTACAAACACCAGGGCAAACCCTACAAGTTACCTTATATAGTCCAAAAAGAGGAGGAACCCTCCAATCTGGGATTTTCTTTCCCAGAAATCCTATAAGTAATCCTTCCTCCACTTCACATAAAATAAGTAGAAGATACAAATAAGACCCCAGAAACTCACCACATGTTACTGTTACTCTGAGATGGCTGCTGCTCCATCTATGAGGCAGCCCCCCTTTTTTTCCTTTCTTACTTTAATAAACCTGCCTTGCTTCACTGTTGGCTCACTCTTGAATTCTTTCCTGGGTGAAGCTAATAACCTACTTGGCCTTCAAACAGACCCCAGTTCTGAGGTCAACCTTCCTGATGGGGAAAGGTGTGTGAGGAGGGTAGGAGTGTAGGATGGAGAGGACTCTTCCTCAAAGAGGACATCCTGGATACGCTCTGAGAAGCCCCATAAATTTACCAGAGTGTTAGATGGAACCCTATGTTCCCCTAAGTGGGTGCTTACCACATTGAGATTGTGTGACAACACTTCCACACCCACAGGACTTTTAGCTAAGCCTCTGAAGAGTGCTAACAGAGTCACGTAGGTTCCTATAGCCTTGTACTGGGTTGAACAGTGTCCCCCACCAGCCCATGTCCACGGGAACCTCAGAAAGTGCACTTACTTGAAAACAGCATATTCGCAGATGTTATTAAACTGAGGGCCTACTGGACTGGGGAGCCCTGTGGCAGTGGCTGCTGCCCTTACAGGAAGGCCACGGAGAACACCCTGGGAACATGGAGGCGGAGACTGGACAGATCCTTCTACCAGCCAGGGAGTGCCAGAGACAGCTGGCAAACTTTAGAAGCTAGAAGACAGGCATGGAACAAATTCTCCCTCAGAGCCTCCAGAAGGAATTAACCCTGTGTCAACAACTTCATTTCAAACTTCTAACATCTCTATTGTATTAAACCGCCAAGTTTATGGAACTTTGTTACAGTAGCCCTAAGGAAACTAACACAAGCCCCCTACAGAATTTACGCTTCAAATCAGAGGTCTACAAACATCTCTGTGAAAGAGCAAACAGTAAGTATCTCTGGCTTTGGATCTTATGGTCCTGCTCCAACTGCTCAAACCTGCCATGATGTGAAATCAGCCACAGGCAATAGGTAAATAAATGCATGATGATGTGTTCCAAGAAAACTTTATTGAAAAGATGGCAGGATTTGTCCCTCAGACTGTAGTTTGAAGGCAGCTGTTTTGGGTGGAAAAACATAATGAACAAAACCTAACCTGAAGAACCAGCAGTTCTGTACAGCAAGAAGAAAAGAGGGGAGTTAAGACTCTCCTACCTGTTCAGAGAACACAGAAGAAACGCAACACTCAGCCATTCCCCCACGTCCCAGAGCCTTCATTTCCTCAGCAGGAACACGACCCAGATCGCTTGCTCGAGGAGCCCTGGTTAATTTCCAGTTCTCATATTCTGAAGTCCTTTTTTTAAACAACGCTTCTTTCCAATAATTTCATTTATTAAGTACAGTCTGTAAACTCTACGGAAAAGTGACTTTACTGTGCAATGAGCTATTCAAAGTACTATTCTAACAGCCTTTTTAAATCACTGTTATAATTAAAATATGCAGAACAGTTTTTAAACTAATTACATAAATTTACACAAATTTATCTTGTGTCTATAGTAAGACTTTACTTATGCAAATCAATCTTTATAAAAGTAAAAACTTACCATGTTCTGTGTAGGTGCATGTGTGAACACTGCCAGGTCAACAGAATTCCTTTCTAACTAACTGCATATTTTGTTTGAACACAAGATCTCAATTCTTCAAAATAAAAGTAAAGAATTTAAAATAATCCCCCCAAAACTATGAATCATCATCTTATTGCTTTCATCATTTTCTAAGTCTTGAGTACAGATTATTCACAACGGATCTACCATCCAGGGTCTGCATCATGACCTGACAACATCAAATGCTGCTTTAAAACAACATCAAACAACATCAAAATTAATTGCTTTAAAGAATTTCAGACAGGTTCAGTGCCTGGAGCTCAGCGGTTAGGGCGCCAGCCACATACCCCGAGCTGTCAGGCTTGAATCCAGCCTGGGCTGCCTAACAACAATGACAACTACAACCAAAACAATAGCTGGGTGTTGTGGCAGGTGCCTGTAGTCCCAGCTGCTTGGGAATCTGAGGCAAGAGAATCATTGAAGCCCAAGAATTTGAGGTTGCTGTGAGCTGTGATGCTGCAGCACTCTACCCAGAGTGATACAGCAAGATTCTGTCTCAAAAAAAAAAAAAAAAATCACATAAAGTATTCACAGGGGAAGAGTTTCAATAAAACCAAATACTCACCCCACAATACTGCTCTTCGTTGAAGATCTGGGGTGGCAGAGGAATCCCATTTTGAGGTTTTTTCTCCCCAGGAACGTTCTCTCTCATCCACTTCCTGTTGTCCTCATCTCCAGCTATATCTAGTTCCTTAAAGTCAATTTTATTTGCTTCCAAAAAGCCCACAACTTCTTGCTGTTTCTTCCTAATCTGGTCAAGAATAGAGAAAAATGATTATTAGGCTGTTTTTGACAAATGTTTTACTTACATTTACATAAATTAAATCCTTCCTTCAGCTATACCATACAATTCAAACAACTATTCAAATTTATAAGAAATGTTTATATATAATTCTTTTTTTTTTGCAGTTTTGGCCAGGGCTGAGTTTGAACCCACCACCCCCGGTATATGGGGCTGGTGCCCTACTCCTTGAGCCATAGGTGCCACCCTATAATTTTCTTACATATGTATATATATAAGAAATCCTTGGTGGTACCTGTAGCACAGTGGTTAGGGCAATAGCCACATACACCGAGGCTGACAGGTTCAAGCCCACCCAGGCCAACTAAGCAACAATGACAAGTGCAACAATAACAACAAATATCCAGACACTGGCAGGTGCCTGTAGTCCCAGCTACTCAGGAGACTGAGGCAAAGAGAATCACCTAAGCCCAAGAGCTGGAGGTTGCTGTGAGCTATGACACCACAGCACTCTACTGAGGGCGACATAGAGACTCTGTCTCAAAAATAAAAATAAAAGAAAGAAAGAAATCCTTCATATATATATATACATATATGTATAGAAATACTTTTTTTTTATAAAAGATCAAGAGAATGGTTAAACTCTGAAAATTTCATAGCAACAATGTTTAAATCATTGTATAATTAATTGTTGTTAAACTAAATTTGGGCCTTAGAAGCCTCTGCAGGAGTGCTGTATAAGGAACTGCAACCCAGCTTCCTACATAAACAAATGAAAGACCTACCCTAGAAATTTGCCTTTGAAACAGTAGCTGAATCTCAGCCAATCACCAGCAGCCACATATTCAAACCACGTCCAAAGAAAGAAAATACCCAGTTCTAACCAATCCAGCTGCCTTTGTACCTCACTTCCCTTTTCTGTATGTCACTTCCTTTTCTCTGACTATAAATACAGAGGGTGCCAAAAAAAGTATACTTATTTTATTTAAGCAAGGAAAAAACTGTTAAATTTGTAAAACTCAAGTCACATTTGACTTCTGCATTTATAAGAGGTGTTCGTGTGACTTGTGTTTCTCTTTTGTTATTGATATATATTGAATATTACAATTTTATAGTGTTTTCTTTTCTTTTATATATATATATATATATTTTTTTTTTTTTTTTGAG